TTTTTCTTAAACTATTAACTATTTAACTAATAACTATTCATTATATAACTAATCACTATTCACTATTTAACTATTCTAAATTCACTGTTTACTAATAGCTATTCACTTATTACTATTTACTATTCATTATTCAACTACTAACTATTTAACTATTCAGTTATCACTATTCACTATTTGCTATGTTACTAACAATTAACTATTAACTAGTTACTATTTAGTATTAATTATTTACTATACACTATATTACCACTTTACTATTCACCTATTTACTATTAACTATTAACTGATTAACTATTTAGTGCGCATGCGCGAAATACGCAAGATGTTCATGAGACCGATCCAAGTACGCACGTACACCATTATTTTAATTTGATTGTTTGAGAACACGCCACATTCACCGATCGTTTTGGGGAATGTGCACATTTACCAAGAGTGCACATTTACCGTAACATATATATATATATATATATATATATATATATATATATAATATATATATATATATATATATATAATATATATATATATATATATATATATTGATGAATTGTTTAGAATCGGGCAGTAACACCAAGTAAAAAAAACTAAAGAAGTTTTGAAATACTTTATTTATTCATAAATGTAGAACTGCTTTAAATAAAATGATGAGACTTAACTCGCACACTATATTGGAAATTGAAGTCTCTTAAGGGGGCATCCATTAATCACGTGAGCGAGTTCTTAAGGATTTTTGGACCCCCCTCTCCCTTGGTGATATTTGGTGATATTCAAAACTTCCTCCACCAAACATCACCTGTTTGGTTTTTATTTTTAGTTACGTGAAAAAACTGTAAATTTTTTGAATCTTTTTTTAAATGTTTGAACTTTTTTTAAAAAAAGTAGTTAAAAAATAAATACACGTGATATCTTACTATACCCTCCCTCCCCCACGTGATATTTTGTGATTTTTTTGTGACGGTATAACATAACCATAACCAGAACATAACAATGGTACTTCATGCTGGATTACATTAATTTAATTTTTTATTATTTGTGATATTCAAAATTGCATCTTAAACTTCTCCTAATCGATATCGTAAGGGCCGAATTGTATGTATTCATCTTTACTTTCCCATTTGTTGTTATAAAGTGAAATTTTTACGAATTTTAAAAATATTGTGAAAAGATTAGTAAAAGATACAAAAATATTATATATTGAAAAAAAAAAACTATGTTGAAAATTTAATATCCGAATCTTGTGTTGGCGCCCCCTAAAGCGTGCGCTCATATTTTTCGCATGCATCGCATTAAATGTAGGCTTATTAATACTTATTTTCGTATTTTAAGTGAATTAAATTGTTATATTTGTTCATATGTGTATAATTCAATCTGCAATACATATACTGTATTTTATATTATTTTAATTTCTGGCTCATCTCAGCTGCTTTTCGGCAATAATAATGTAGACATTTTAGTTTTATTATTCATAATCATAAATTAATTATACATATTTTAATATTGTCTAGGTTCATAAGTAAATTGAAATTTTTGGCAAATGATAGTTTTCATTTATTTTCAATGCAAACAATGATATGTCGTTTTCTGTAATTTTTTCCATTTATTTCTACAATATTGCACATACATCCCAGTACTTTATAATCACATACATCCTAGAAAATTTCCTTAACAAACTTCAGAAAGATTTATCAAAATCCAAATAATCGTTTAGGAGGAGTATACAGTAAGTGCTTGTAATTTGATATGAACTTTATATAATAGCAATAAAGCTCAAATTGATTCTACGTTTTAGTTAGTAAACGTTTGTATGTGAAAAAGAAAATTATTCGATTATTCGATTTTTTTTTTGCCGTAAGAACCATCCTTGGACATCAACGAACATTTTGGTTCAGGCATTGTTGAGTTATGCGCTTACCAACACATTTTCCGATTCATTTTTATATATAAGATAATGTTTCTACATTCATTTCCATTGAGTAAAATTAAATCCGTTTAATAATGTATTTAAATTTATTTCGACGCAGTAAAAGTAAATCCGTTCAAATAAACCTTACCTAACTTTACACAGTCAATTCCGAACATAAAAACCTAGCCTTGCTCACCCACACATACCTCGCTGATTATAAAAAACCCTCTAGTGTCCTTTAACACAAAATTTCATCCCATATGTATCTTACTCTCGTCTCGGTAACGAAAGCTATTACGTGGCCCCCGTTCTGTGCAAAATACTTAAATTTTTTCACAGTTTTGAAAAACAATACTCTCATTATTTTTCCTCTTTACAAAAATTCATGATTATTGACTGGTTTGTTGTATCAATGTTAGTGCAAAATTCTGTGATGTGTACACATTTTTAGATATAAAATACCAAGTTCAATGTAAGTTTCATTTTATTAACTTCCCAAAGGAAATCTTTATGTTTTTATCCAAAAATCCGATTCGCTAATTTTATTTTTCTCGACGTTTCAAGCCATTCTGAATCGAATGAGACCAAATTTGGAAAAAGTAGGCGTGTGTGTGTATGTGAACAGATTTTTTGCCGTAAATCGACGTTTTCTCGAAAACAGCTGAACCGATTTCAAAAAATTAAAAGCTATTCGATGTATCTCGATGAGGACTATCGTTTGTCAGTTTTGTGCGACGATCGGCCGAGACGTTTCTTTATAAATAGCAGAAA